GCAGAACCTTGCATTTGCTCTTGTTGAACCTCATGAGGTTCACCTGGGCCCACCTCTCCAGCCTGTCCAGGTCCTTTTGGATGACATCCCGTCCCTCTGGTGTATCGACACCACCACACAGCTTGGTGTTGTCCGCAAACTTGCTGATGGTGCCTTTAATCACCCTGTCTATATCATTGATAAAAATGTTAAACAGTATTTATGTTCAGATCCTGCCCCTGCCTCTGCAGTGCTGTCAACAGGAGAGTCTGGGAATGCAGGAACGTACCCAAAGGTACTTCAGTGATGGTTGAGGTGTTTCTCATGGCCATCAAGATTTCATCCAGGACTTCTGCTTTTGTCCTTCGGGCCGGAGGGCTGGGCATCCTCCCACACTGCAAGGAAGACCAGGAGGCTGCAGAATCTCCTCTCCACCCTCCAGGCTGATGATCCTCCACCTCCTTTTCCTGCCCCCTCTCCCAAACCACCCGTGCTTCTGCATGAGGTAGGTGAGATGGTCTTTTTTGGACCAAGCTGGTTGGGTTTTAATGCTGATTGAACGAGGGTGAGAGAACAGGGAGGTGCTGGGGATACAGAACCTGGGCCACACTCAAGCTCTCAGCCTCCATCCAAACATGTGGGTTGATCCAGATAGAGACACAACTGGTCTCCTTTTGGAGCTTTACCTTTTTCTGAGGTGGGTAGATCTTCTGCACAACGTCCAGTCCTGGCTTGGCATCCCGGTAAACCCTGGGGGGCTTCAGGAGGTCATACAACCCCTGCACGTTCTTCTGCATCCCTGTGAACCAGAAGGAAAATGGAACAACAAAAGCCTTTGCTGCTTGCTTCTTCAAAGCTTTGAGGAGGTCTTTGGGATGGGGCTTGGAGCAACATGCTCTAGTGGGAGGTGTCCATGCCCAGATGGTCTTTAAGGTCCCTTCCAACTCTAACCATTCTATGATTCTTTCTTGGTCAGAGTGGACCATAGTGCTCATCATCTTTTCTAAGCAGGAACCTTCTGCTATCTTCACTCACCAACTGGTTCAATAAAATCTTCACCGAGTGGCTCCTTGTAGCCTTTGCATTGCTCTGGAACCACCTGAGACCTTCCTCCCTGCCTCTGCTCACTCCTCTTCTCCAGCCTGCCCTCCGCCACAGGTCTCAGCAGGGGTCTGGGCACATCTTCCACCTCAAAGCAACAAAATAAAGGAATTCACAACAGCCCTTTCTTACCAGTCAAGCTGATGGTCTCTGGCCACAGCCAGAGGTCTCTCCTGGTGGCACCGAGCCACAGAGCCACCACCTCATCCCATCCCTGCTCAGCAGAACCAGGCCCAGGGGAAAGAGTGGCCATCCCCATCCCACTGCAGACTTTTTTTCCCCGATCATACCAAGATTTTCAGGGAAATCAAGTCAAAAAGCTGTCCTGGTGAGCTCTAGGAGGCACTTTTCCAGCAGATGCTGCAGGGACAATGCTGGACTGAGCCAGCCACCAAGGCAGCACCCCCTGTGCCACCCTTCAAAATTCTTCTTCTTGGTCACTAGTGCTTCCTTTCTTAAACCCCTTGCAGTCAAAGGAGGGTTATAACCACTGGTGCCCACAGCACATGTACATTTCATTCACTTAGGGAATGAAGATTCATCTATGGACTACTTCTGGACCAGCCCTGCAGTCCTGAACTTACAGCCTGGCCTCACCTGGGTCATGAAAAAGGATGGAATGTTCTCCTCAGCTGGGCCAGGAGGAGGCCTGGAGTCACCTTCCTCTTCCTCCAGTGATGGGGTTGTGGAGCTGATGGGGTGAAGAGGCTGGGCCAGACTTGGAGGTGCCACATCTCTCACAGTTTCCACTGCAGCTGGGAGCTGTTTCCAAGGAAAGGTCTTGGCAGGAACTTCCAGCATCTTCTTGACTTTGGGGAGATGCGACGTGACCTGAAGGGAACACAATGGATGTCCAAACACAAGTGTCAGTGTGGGGTCAGGTCTGGCAGCTGGGGGCTGATTGTTGAGGGACATGGAATTCCAGGGCAGTCCCAGCTCCAGGGACACCCTGGCAACATCTTCTGTCCTATAGGATCCCTCAGCCAAGGCCAAATGGCCTTCTAAACCCAAAAACCCAGTGACAAACCCTGCTTGGGGCAGCGATAAGGGGGTGGTGGGACTCCTCACCCTCATCCTGAGCAAAATATCTCCAATCTTTCCCACCCTTTCACAGAATCACATGGGGTGGAAGGGACCTCTGGAGATCATCATAGAGCAGGTTGCACAGGAACGTGTCCCGGTGGGGGTTGAATGTCTCCAGAGAAGGAGACTCCACCATCTCTCTGGGTAGCGTCTTCCAGGGCTCTGCCACCCTCACAGGAAAGAAGTTCCTCCTCATGTTTAGATGGAACTTCTTATATTCCAAATTTGTGCCCATTTCCTCTTGTCCTGTCACTGGGCACCACTCCTTCCATCTTTCCATCCATCCATCCACCCCCCTATCCATCCATCCATCCATCCATCCATCCATCCATCCATCCATCCTTCCAACTTCCTCCATCCTTCCAACCCTGCTGGGATCCATGAGTCCCACCAGCTCTTCCCGTGCTCTCCAGCAAGTTGGTTCCTGGGCAATCCTGCCCCGAGTATCACAGCAAGGGTTTCATCCCCACCTTGGGCAGAAAAAACCTCACGCTCCCGAGGCCCGTCCCTCCTTACCTTGCGGCTGGCTTTGAGAGGGATGGAGAAATGTCGCTTCTCCATGGCTACGTTCTTCTGTCGGACAAGTTTAATCCCCAGATCGTGCTGGAGGAGCTGGGTCAGGAGAGGTGGCTGCCCTGGAAGAGCAGAGGTTCATCAGAGCTGCAGGAGAGCCCATGGCCCGCTCCTTTGCTGGCAGCACACTCTGGCCCGTGCCAACTATCAAAACGCAAAAGATGCGTTGCCAGCAGGTCCAGAGAGGTGATTCTGCCACTTTGCTCTGCTCTGGTGAGACCTCACCTGGAGCATTGTGTGCAGGTCTGGAGCCCTCACTAGAAGAAGGACATGGACCTGATGGAGAGGGTCCAGAGGAGGGCCACGAGGATGATCAGGGGGATGGAGCACCTCTGCTACGAGGACAGGCTGAGGGAGCTGGGGTTGTTCAGCCTGGAGAAGAGGAGGCTCCAGGGAGACGTAATAACAGCCTTCCAGTACCTGAAGGGGCCTACAGGAAGGCTGGGGAGAACCTGTTTAGAAAGGCCTGCAGTGACAGGACGAGGGGCAATGGCTTCAAGCTGGAGGGGAACAGATTTAGACTGGAGATGAGGGTTGAGGCCCCATCCCTGGAGATATTCAAGGAGAGGCTCGACGAGGCCCTGGGCAACCTGGTCTAGTTGGGGGTGTCCCTGCTGACTGCGGGGAGGTGAGACTAGATGACCTTTGGAGGTCCCTTCCGGCCTGGGCAACTCTATGATCTATGATTCTATGATTCTATGATTTTATGAACTAACCCCAGGCTCAACTCAGAGCATGGCACTGCCCAGGGACCAGAGTAGAAGCCACCCTGTTTTGTAGGGAGATGTTTTATCCCTAAGGACACGCATGGGACCAGGCTACATGCCCCCAAGGCCAGAGGAGCAGTCCTGACCTGTTTTATTTACTAGTCTACACACAGCTCGTGCAGGGTGCGACACCATTGCAACGTTTCACCACCAGAATCATTCTGGCTACCTTCAAGTGTTGCCTATGGAGGCCACGGGCACCTTTGGGGTTTATCCCACCTGCTCAGAGAGCTGGAGGAAACCCGGATCAGCTTCAGATCAACCCTTTGTGGGATAAACACCATGTGGAGAGCAAAATTTAGCCTGAGACTGCACTGTTGCGGCCACGGGTGGGCTGTTAAGGACCTTGATGAGGCTGGGAACTGCAGAAGGGCATTAATCATAGAATCATAGAATGGTTTGGGTTGGAAAGGACCTTCAAGATCATCCAGTTCCAACCCCCCTGCCATGGGCAGGGACACCTCCCACCAGACCAGGTTGCCCAAAGCCCCATCCAGCCTGGCCTTGAACCCCTCCAGGGATGGGGCAGCCACAGCTTCTCGGGGCAACCTGGGCCAGGCTCTCATCAATTCATGGTGTTTGCAAGAGCAGTGCTCATCTGCATTGCTCTTTAGAGAGCAGAGAGGATTAAATCACCTCCTTGAGGGCCAAAGCCAGCGTGGCAGGAGTGTCCAAACACCAAAAGGCAATGTTGTCCCTATCTCAGAGAGCTGACAGCGAAGGAGGGACAAAGCAGGAGTCCCCCCATGGAGCTAGGCTCATACCGTACCGCTCCGGGTGGTGGTAAGAGGGTTGTCATGAAATGTCAGCTCCTCCAGGCAGGGGAAGAAAGCCACAGGCAGGAGAGCTGTCTCATCCACGATCTGCAAGATAAAAGTGTTTGCTGTAAGCACTAAGTCACGCTGGAGGCTGTAGAGTTTCATCCCAACCCATCCCAATCCCAATCAAAGCGTGTTCCTCCGACACGTGGGGACCCGCAGATGACACCAAACTAGGTGGGAGTGTTGATCTGCTCGAGGGTCGGAAGGCTCTACAGAGGGATCTGGACAGACTGGAGCAATGGGCCAAGGACAACGGGATGAGGTTTAATAAGGCCAAGTGCCGGGTCCTGCATTTTGGTCACAACAACCCCGGGCAACGCTACAGACTTGGGGCAGAGTGGCTGGAAAGCTGCCCGGCAGAGAAGGACCTGGGGGTGTTGGTAGACAGCAGGCTTAACATGAGCCAGCAGTGTGCCCAGGTGGCCAAGAGGGCCAATGGCATCCTGGCTCGTATCAAGAATAGCGTGGCCAGCAGGAGTAGGGAAGTCATCGTGCCTCTGGACTGGGCACTGGTGAGGCCTCACCTCGAGGGCTGTGTTCAGTTTTGGGCCCCTCACTACAGGAAAGACATTGAAGTGCTGGAGCGTGTCCAGAGGAGAGCCACCAAGCTGGGGAGGGGTCTGGAGAACAAGTCCTATGAGGAGAGGCTGAGGGAACTGGGCATGTTTAGTTTGGAGAAGAGGAGGCTGAGGGGAGACCTCATTGCCCTCAACAACTACCTGAAAGGAGGTTGTAGAGAGGCAGGTGTTGGCCTTTTCTCCCAAAGGACGAACGACAAGACCAGAGGAAACGGTCTGAAGTTGGGGCAGGGGAGATTTAGATTAGATATTAGAAAGAATGACTTTCCTGAGAGAGTGGTCATGCACTGGAACAGCCTGCCCAGGGAGGTGGTGGAGTCACCATCCCTGGAGGGATTTAAGAAACGTATAGACATGGCTCTTCAGGGCATGCTCTAGTGCCCAAGGTTATTGGTTTATGGCGAGGTGTTGAGTGTGGGGTTTAGTTGGTGGGTGCGGTGGTTTTGGTGGGCGTTTGGTGTGGTGTGGTGTGTGGGTTTTTTTGGTTTTTTTGTGGGTTTTTTTTTGTGGTTGGACTCGATGATCTCAGAGGTCCCTTCCAACCACTAAGATTCTGTGATTCTGTGATCCCTTAACCAGCGATGCCCAGCAGCTCTGAGGACAGAGGCAGCGCTTCTCTCTCCCTCCTGCCTGCTGCAGCGAGAGGACTGGCACCAAAACCACCCAGGAGAGCCACAGGGTAGAGGGGCAGGACTTGTTTTTCTCCAGCCCAGGGCTGTAGAGCAGGAAAAAAATCCTGCTTCTCCACACCACAGCCCAAACCACAACCTGGCCAGGGCACCACGGCCAGAAACCAGCTCACCCACAAGGCATGAAGGTTGTGGCCTTGAGCAACCTGCTCTAGTGGGAGGTGTCCCTGCCCATGGCAGGGGGGTTGGAACTAGATGATCTTTGAGGTCCCTTCCAACCCAAACCATTCTATGATTCTAACCAGCGATGCCCAGCAGCTCTGAGGGCAGAGGCAGCGCTTCTCTCTCCCTCCTGCCTGCTGCAGCGAGAGGACTGGCACCTAAACCACTCAGAAGAGCCACAGGGTAGAGGGGCAGGACTTGTTTTTCTACAGCCCAGGGCTGTAGAGCAGGAAAAAAAATCCTGCTTCTCCACTCCACATCCCAAACCACAACCTGGCCAGGGCACCACGGCCAGAAACCAGCTCACCCACAAGGCATGAAGGTTGTGGCCTTGAGCAACCTGCTCTAGTGGGAGGTGTCCCTGCCCATGGCAGAGGGGTTGGAACTAGATGATCTTTGAGGTCCCTTCCAACCCAAACCATTCTATGATTCTATGAACCTTGTGGTGATGACACCATCTGAACCAGGGTGCAGCTGCAGCCCAGAAGACCAATCCCATCCTGGGCTGCATCAAAAGATGCGTTGCCAGCAGGTCCAGAGAGGGGATTCTGCCACTTTACTCTGCTCTGGTGAGACCTCACCTGGAGCATTGTGTGCAGGTCTGGAGCCCTCAATAGAAGAAGGACATGGA